ATTCCAGCCAAATTTCATTACATTCACTTTCATTTTAACCCTTGGCATGGTTAAAATACATCTTTCCTCTCTAGCTATGGATTAAATAGTAGGAAAGGCTAAACTCTCCAGTCTTGGTTGGTAACCAGTCTAAGTGAAGGACATCTCTAGATTCAAATCATATGTAGCCCTAGTGAAATACATACTATCCAGCTAACGAAAGGTTTGTGAAGTTTACAATGACTATGATCACAACTAGTTGTTCAATTAATCAATCAATCGTCAATAGATAAATCAACATTATATACTTATATAATACAAATCAATATTTTCACAATAAAATTACTATCAACCAACAAATATTGGTAAAAATATTCAGAATATACTTATATTTATATAATCAATATACCTTGTGAATTTCAGCTTATAATATTTGTTTATATTTGAAATATTTGTACCTTATTGGGTAATGTGGCATTTTACTATGAAACCTTGATCAAACACACAATTTCTCTCTTGTAATAAAACTAATAAAAATACTCTTTTTTTATTGCTTTAAAGAGCAATATCTATTACATTTTAGGCCCACACACATTGAAGAATGTTATATTAAACAGAATTCTTGTCTATTTGCATTTCTCTAAAGCTTTGTCTTTCAGAAGTTGATGTTTCAAATTTACAAGCATATTTGAGACATAGACATCAGAATGTAAAAAAAACATAAATGCACACCTGCTATCAGGACAGATCATTTAATATCATCTCACATACACACATGTAGAAAGTAACACAAGCACATTCACTGATGCTAATAATCTTAGGCATACATATTTCTCATTTATATGAATTTTATGACCCTTAACAATTAAAAACTATTAAAAAATATTATCATAGAGCTTTTCCCTTGTTACATGGGCTAAGTTTGAATATAGTTCATAATACAATTCACATTTTCATTCAAACTACAAGTAGATTTGCCATCTCTTTCTCAATTCACCCAGCAGATATTCAAAAAGAAAACGGAATATACTGTTCTCTTTCAAGAAAATTACAACCACTTAAATCATTTTAAATCAAGATCATGACAAGTCTGAGCAATAAAAGGAAAGAGAGATGAAAGAGATGGCAAAATGATGAAATTGAAAGGAAGAGCAATGAAGCAATATTGCAAATATCATGTTTGCAATCACATTAGCAAATAATTTTCAAGTTTCTATAGAATTGAAACACTTGCTAACAGCTCTGTAAATGCTTGTCTTGTTTTCCTCATTTTGCATATCTAAACTTGTATAGACATTTCTTTGCTTCTTCTAATTTCTAATTTAATAATATTTGTAATTTCACCAATTCTTGTAATGGGTTATTGGCAACAGACAAGCATAAAGTGAATCTTTTAGATGTATTACTAATAGTTTTAATAGGCTAACAATGTTTAATTATTGCATATCTGAGGATATCAAATCATACAATACTGGTGGATATTTCAATTCAGAAAGTAGACAAATAATACATGTTAATTATAAGGCAGCAAAATACTGAAATACTTCTATTAAAATGCCATAAAAAAATAAAAATTACCCAATAAAGATAAAAATGGAAACACTTTATTTTCAGATAGGAAAAAAAAAAAGAGAGAGAGAATTTTTTCAATGATAACAGATTTTATGCCTTTATTGCTCTAATTTGTTTCATTGAATAAATCTCCAGAAACAGCTTAAAATTTTGTAATCTGTGAATTCAATTTGAGAAACAAGGTTATAAATAAATTTGGATTGAATCAAATGATTGATATTTTTCCACTTGCTATAAATTCAGGTTTGTTTATAAGAGATTTTGAAACAAATCCCAAAAAAAATTTTCAAATTTAAAACTTTCATAAAACTGTAATTTATTACATTCACAGATTTGTGAAGAAAAAATATTTTTATATAAAATTAATCATTTTCATCTCCAAAGATCAAAATGAATCTGATCTCTGAAAGTGAAAATGTAATTCTGACAAAAGACCTGTATCAGCAATTTCCATATAAAAAAAGTTCCTTTCATATAATACTTGAAAATGAAAAAAATAGTTTTATACAGAAACAAATCAGTCACCTTTATAACTTGAAATCAAGAAGTTACTGTTCAGTTTTCTGGTTCATTTAATCTGACATCTACAGTTAGACCTCATCAATCAATCATACAAAGCATTGTTCAAGGTACCACTGGCAAAGAAGAGAATGTCATAAGCAACTTTTCTGTTAATCCCATACAAAAGTACCTAAATTTATACTTCACATGTCCCCAAATAAAAATCAGGCTTGAAGTAAGAAGATTGCACTGACATCACAATCTACAGTAACAAGTTATACAAAAGAAAAGTGTATCCTTGCTAATATTTCCATCAGTAAAAGAGAAAAAAATAAGAATGATGAAAGGAGAAAAAGAAAATTAGATAAGTAAAGCTGAAAAACAGGAAACACAGTTGGGGTTTATTAAAAATCTATTTTCATGCAGTTTTCCAAAGTAAATATTTTCACTTAATTCTGTAACAAGGTTGCAACATGGATGGTATCAATTCAAAAAAATTAAGATGTTAAAACAATGAGGAGATTAGTAAAAGAATATCACCTGTAAAGACAAACAATTAATTAAGCAAGATGACAAAATATGTGAAAATGAATAAGATGTAAATCAAAGTATGAGAAACTCATGCAAAAAACAAAGAAAAGAATACTAAAAATCTTTTCATTATAAGACCTTTTTAGATTTTTATACTTTATAGAAAGTAGATATCAAATTAGGACTAAACTAAAATTTAAGTAAACTACAAAAATTAAGTATTAGGTTTTACAGAAACAGTAAGCCATCTTTTAAAACCCATCAAAGATGTACAAGAGTGGATCAATAAATCCATGACCTGACACATAGTTATCAGAATTTTGGTTTGAAATCTTCACTGTATAATTTCAGTCTTTGTGATTAATCCTACTGAATGTGCATTTGACAAAGAACATATTGCAAAAAAATAACTTCGTATAAAATAAATGCTTTTTTTTTATCATTGGGCTACAAAATTTGATATACCTACATAGTTATAATCTTTTGGTTTTTTTTTTTTTTTTTTTTTGCTAAGAAATGTTTTTTAGTTCATGTTTAAAAATAAATCTTCATTGCAATATGACTTTTTAAACACTGATTAGTAATTCAACACAAAAAACATTCAATCTTTATCCAAGTTAGATAGTTTACAAATGAATTGTGCACTCTACAAACTAATAGTTACTGCATTTACTCATTTTCTTAAACTTTCACCTATTATGATGGATGGTACTTCTCTCAAGGAGGTTCCTTACCTTGAACATTTATTTGGGACTCAAGCAGCTCTTCCCAAAACTCAAGTAGAATTCATAACCGATCTATTGCTAAAAATACTGGAAAAATGATCAGTTCCTTGTACCACCCCATTAAGTATCTAACTCCCACTGCTATGCTCTATCTTTACAACAGCCAGATCAAACCAAAAGTGGAGTGTTGCTGCCATATCTGCATTGGAGCTGTCCAGTCCTCACTTGCCTGTCTGGAGAGAGTGCTATATGGACTTGTGGGTGAAGAATTATTTTCCACCCTACAACCCCTTTCTCACAGATCAAACATTGCAAGCCTCTTGCTGCCTTATTGCTATTTACATGGTATGTGCTCTGACAAGCTACATTCCTTCGTCCCACCAGCCCTGACCATTACAACTTGGACCCACCATGCCACATACACATTATTCCATTAGTAAGAACTAAGTTCCATTCAGAAAACTTCTTCGCAAGAACTGCTACTTTGTGGAACATCCTCTTGGCAGGATATTTTCCTAATGATTAAAATCTTAACCTGTTCAAGCCTAGGGCTAACCATTATCTTTCCTGTATAACCCAAGAGAATCACTTCTTGCCTATTTTTATTCTCATACAACACCACTCAGTAACCCTTTACCTTGAGTGGCTCTTGAGCCTTGTACTGGTTGAACATTAGTATAAACCCAAAGAAAATGAAAGCTCCGATTTATGTAAATGTGTTGTCACAATGTTTCGGGCATTGTGCTCTCCGACCTTCATCAGGTTTTTGCCAATCTGAATAATCTACAGGGAATTTTGAACTGAACCCTTTATTTAATCTATGGGGATAGATTGTTCTCATTCCACTGCTCATGTCTAAGACTATATCATCTAGTTCTTATTTAGTACTTCTCTGTTATTGCTTGCTCTGTTTCCAATAAATTCAAGTACATACTACCCGGGTCATGGATTGAACTTTTACTATGTCACCAAATTGATGGCATGTCAAGCTCAAATTCCAACAGGTGACTGCATTCACTTTCACACAAATGCCCTTAGTAAAGTATGAATACATATCTTCTTCCTTATAAGTTTGGTTTTCTAGCTTCTACTGTTAACCTGGTGGAAGAACAACTCTGAAGTTTGATTGTGGGACTAGCAACTCCATCACATAAAAAAAAAAAATGACCTGCTACAGAAACAACAGTAGACACACCTGGCATAGTAAGGCTTTGGTCCTATATTCCACAGAGGTCCACAAGAGTCTATGGAGTTAACATACAACATCCTTTACTTTTTTTTAGTCCTTACATGTTTTTCTTTTTATAATCGCTAGGCTGTATTTTTTTAAATGTGCTGTAAAAATCAGATGACGTCACATTCTTATTATTTAATATAATGTTTGACATTCTCAAAAACACATCTACACTTGTAATGGCTTTTGTTAATATGAAAGAGCTAATATGATATGAGTATGAGGATGAAGGCACAGTGTATGTAAACAAAAATTCAACAATCAGATACTTTTATTTTTAAGTAAAACCTAGTACACACTAATTTTTGATTCAACTAAAGGAATAGTCAGCAATGTGAGTAAACAAAACAAAAAATAAAGAAGCTTCTTCCAGTTTTAATACGATAATTATAAAACTGAGGACATTTACTATAAATCTAAACAATTAGATTTACTTCTTAAAAAATCTTCCTTCTTACCTTGGTGAAGTGCTGTTTTGAGTGTTATGATAAGGATAACGTGGTGTATGATAAAGTGACATAGGCTGTTGTTGTTGGTGTTGTGGCTGCTGTTGTTGTTGTTGCTGCTGCTGCTGTTGTTGTTGTTGTTGACGTCGTTGTGGTTGTTGTTGCTGCTGCTGTTGTTGTTGTTGTTGCTGCTGCTGCTGTTGTTGTTGTTGCTGCTGCTGTTGTGGTTGGGTGTAACTAGAAGATCTTTGCTGTTGTGATATACTTTGGCGAGTTTGCCTGCCTATAGATAAAAAAAATCAGACAAAATAAGCATCTTAAATCAATTCTAATAAGCAAATAATGAAAAATTAATGGAAGGACAGAGATATGATAAAATAGTAATACATGATTCCTTTTTGGAAAGGTTCAGTATAAAATACACAGTTTTAACTACTTTTATGCTGAAAATTGGAAGAAGCAGTTGATGAAAAATATAAGTTATTTCATCATGAGATGCAAATTCAGAAAACAAAACTGAAGAGAACAGACATTTGTGAAATATTTAGTCAGTAGTTAATTCTGACTTGGGAAGATGAAATCTATAAGTCTAATACTACCAAATTAAAATTAAGATGATCTAAAGGAAGGCATTTACTTCAAGAAAATGAGAGAAAAAAAACAGATAATAAAGGTAAATACATTAACATTCTTATGGCAAATATATTATATATATATATATATATATATATATATATATATATATATATATATATGTGTGTGTGTGTGTGTGTGTATAATTTTTTTAAATAGAAAAATTTACTTACTGTAAATTAATACATCCGTATTTGAATTATTCTTATTCTCCTGACTATGCAGTTTCATGCCCACTCTTCACAGGTCCTATATATATATATATATATATATATATATATATATGGCTTATTCTTATATCCCATTAATAATTGCTATTTCTTTATCTACTTTTTCTTGGACTATGATTTATCTCTTCATTTGTGACATCCCAATGCAGAAGCTAAAGATGTATAAATGGCTTAGACAAATTAATGTGATTGATGAGAAGACACACAAAATTTGTATCCAATGAACTCTTTTTCTTGGTGAAATATTAACATTAAATTATATCGCAAAAGTTTAATTTTACAAATATTTGCATAAAAATAATTAATAATTAAAGGAACAATGTCAGCACTAAAATACAAGTGCTTTGTGGAATTTTTAAATCATACCAGAGTTTATATTAGCAGTAATGGTAAATATGCATAAAACTTATACAAATTTTTAAAATTACAAATTACCTCCCTATAAAATATTATTGTTTTATCATCAATAACATTGGAATACTATGTTAAAATGTATAAGTATTGGGTAGCTTAACTAATTGTGAATGTTTGTTTTCAACTAGTATTTGTTTGAATCTAATGCTTCATTCTCTGGAAGGAGCTCATATTAGAGGACTCATTTCAACCCAACCATATACACAGTATCAGTTTTGAATGAAAACCAGCCTTTTGATTTGTAATCACCTGTTTATGTTTTTGTAAAGAATGCACTTTTCATTATCAACCACATCTTCATTAAGTAATGAATTGCACACAAAAATAAAATCTAGTAGGTTCTTTTTCTTCTTTTCTCCCCCCACCTTCTACTTGTGTGGAAGCTACACCCCAAAGCAACTAATATAATCAAACTTATGCAAACTGATTTTCAATGTGGCTGAGTATGTTGGCTATCTCCATTGTTGTATAATATTAAATATTCTCAAGTAATGTCATGATTGGATAGTGATCAATCTTGATCATCTACTTGACTACTGAACAATTGTTCAGCAAGAAATCTTTGGCACAAAACCTTGTAAATCACTTTTGACACATTCAATCATTCGTAATAACTTCACCAAAAATTGCACTTTTTTCTTTTTCATTTGAGTCACATTTTTCATCAGTTAAAAATGTTGCTGATTTTCTTCTATTTTTCAGTGTTTTAAAATATGTATCAATTTTGTGAAAACTTTTTTTTTAAAAGTGTACAATGATAACACAATATAATCAGATATAAACTTTTTGAAGATAGTTAACATTTAATGGTAACAAAAAAAACAAACGTTATATTTCATTATACTCTGATTTTATTCTTTAAAAACAAAAAGCACAAAAAAAAAATCAGAAGAATTTAGTTTAAGAACTGTAAATGAAATGGTATGTCCTTTAAACAAATACTAACTTGGACAATGCATCAATATTATTTTTGATCATTTAATCCTAAGTAAGACAATAAAGCCACTTATGCATAAATGTTTACTAAATGTGAATGAATATGAGAAAAAGAAAAACATTAAGGAGGGAGAACAATAAAAGAACATATATTAAGAAACAGGAGATAATGACTAACATTGCATTTAAATTGTTGACGATCAAAGTTGACTGGTAAGCAACAAGGTGCAAGACACTTTCCAAGCAAGAAATTCAAGATAAGAAACTACTAGCATAGAAGTTACATTTACATCTAGCAATTTAAACTGTAAAATGATGAGACCTAGCTGGCAATCTAGTACTGCGCTTGAATCTGTAAATTTGAGGTACCAAAGACGAATGCTCATCAGAATAATTATCATGAAAATATTTATAGAAATGACATAGGGAAGCCACATTACTGTGGCGAGAAAGTGACTGAAGCTGAAATGCTAATAACACTGCAGATCTTTCTTTGGATTTTATCAAGAATCTCTAAATACACAGCAGAAGCACCAGATGTGGCAGCAATATTCAATGCATGGATGAATGGAATATACTGAAATCTATTTTATAATTATTGCAAACTAATTTATTATATTTATTAAACATATATATATATTAGATATACACATATATTATATATATATATATATATATATATATATATATATATATATATATAGATATATAGATATAAATATAGATTGATAAAAATAGATTGATAGAAAATAGATAGATAGATAGATAGATAGATAGATAGATAGATACACATTATTTCCAATTTTTCAAAAATAAAATACTAAACTTAAATACTAAACTTAAAAACCCTTCATGACATGATTTGCTCCTTGGCAAAACCCAAAGATGATATTAAAATAATTTTTTTTTAATTCATTATGAATGAAGGAGAAAGTTAGCTCCCTAAAATTAAATATTTATATCATTAAAATCTCTGTAACAAGGAAATTTTTTAATTGGCTTGCAAACAAAATTATTGGCACAATAAAACTTCTTATACCGTTGAAGTGCAAGGCAAAATATTAATCCCAAATGAATTCTCAAAAGTCGCAAGGATATAAAGATGAAAAAATAAATCAAAAAGGTAAAAGAAAAGAATAAGAAATAAGTCCTTAAGAGAAGAAACATTTTTAGGATGTATTAGTTCATGAAAATATGTTTATCATAACACCTGATTGTAAAATTTAGTCATCATAAATTGAGACAACTGCATTTTCTCAAGAGAGAAAAGAAAATTAATGCAGTATCTTTCAAGCAGTTAACATTTGCTTTTAAAGATAAATTTCAAGTTTAATTAAAAAAAAATTTTTTATAAAGAGATAATATTGAGTTATTTTCTAAGTACTGGCATACCAAATCTCATCTTGGTTATAATCCACTGAGGAAAAATAAAATTGTAACACTGTAAAGGACAATGTCAATTTAGACATGGGTACAGTAGGTGCATGCAAAAGGGTAGTAGATATTCTGATAAAAGTTTCACCCATCTTGTCACATATTAATACTTATATCAGTCACCATATATGTGTGTGTGATCTTTAGATGGTGATATATACTGCAATAAAGTTCAGTAGAATGAAATAATCCAGAGCAATCAGGTTATCAGGCCATAGTGATGCATATGTTCAATTAGAGCTGTTTGAGAAGTGTCAGCTTGTGGACCTTTGAGAAGCTGGATGGTCAGTGCAGAGAATTGTTGTATAAATTGGCTGTAATGCATTGGTAGGTCTTCAACTTTGGCAACAATGGTTCTAGATAGTCACATAGTACATTTGGCAAGATTAATGCATTATAAAGGCAGCAAGGGCAGACTATATTAAGTATCCATGGAAGAGGTCAGAGCAAATGTGGCTCCAGGGATATCAACAGACACCTGGGAATTGTTTACTTGTAACTGGAGGCACCCATGTCTTTAACTTTGCTCTAAATAGCAGGAAACATGCTAAAATCCTGGATAGGTGCATTGGACTGGGTTAGCAATCATGGGCTGCACAATCATGACACAGCTGACCACAGATGTCTGTGTTTATCGACGAGTATATGCTCAGCTGTTTTGACAGCCAGTTTAGTCCAGCCCTTGCTTTGTGGGTAAGCCAACAATGTACATTTCCATATTCCCCAATTCTTAACCTTTACCATGCTAATTTCTTTCGAGAATTATTCCCCTTGCAACTGCATTTTTTTTTTTGAGGGTGCAAAAACAAACACCTACTATTTTAAAATTGTTATAACTTTCTTTGTATTGTGCATATAGATTTTAATTTTTGTACACTAATAAAAGAATGAATGAGTAATATTTTGATGCAATGCATTACGCTTTGCATGCATGTTTTGATGTTGAAAACAAAAAATATTGAAACACAAAATAAAAAGCATACAAAAAATACATAAGTAATTCAACATATTTTAACTTTTATTACTCTTTATAGAGTTTCCAATAAGAAGCAAAATGGCTAAGAAGGCTTTCATTTTGTCAAACAAGCGACGCGTTTCTTTGTGTTTACATACAAGAAGACACTAGCATTTGTTTGCTCTTTCTTTCACCTGACTTTCACCTGACTCATATTTATTTGTCTCGTTGACCAATAAAGTTATTATTTCATCGTTTATAAATAGACAAAATAATTCACCTCCAGAAAGGTTATCAGGTAGATCGCTGATCACCAGTAGCTTCCATAAAATTAGTCAGGCACGGATGATAGTAGCCGCTAGTGGTCATCATCGCTTTCCTCCATGTCACTAACATGGTTATCATCTTCGACCACTTCATCCCTAATATCCATGAGTAAAGCCTTTCCAAATCATCATCAGACTCTTAAAAAAAACTCCTGAATAAAGTCTTTGTTGGATATTCATGCAGCCATTTTTGCTTACAAAAAATCATGAAAAAAATTAACATGGATTTAATCAGTGTTACACATAATGTGCAGTCTAGAAGAATTCCAAATGGCATTGGAAAACGGAAGTTTAACCTTCTTCCAAAGCAGTAGTATGTGATTTTCAGCTTAAAATACCAGAAATAACAGTTGAC